ATTTGCATATTTTGTTTATTAGATATTGTTATCATCAAATTTATCAAAAGCAGTTGTTAGATACCTGTATCAAAGAGTTCCACGAAAAAGGCTTTTTATTTGCCAATTTCTCTGGTCATTAACATTACCACAAACAATAATCTTACCAATATATTAATGGCTTTTTCGATTAAATAAAAAAATGATATCGAAATATAACATAACGGTTGGACACAAATCATAAAATCCGTCCAATAAATACTTTTAAAAATTAAAGCCTATTGTAATAAAGAAAGTCAATCAGATGTAATTTATAAAGAGTGTAAGTCGTCATATAGTGGACAGACACATTAGTACCTACTCACATAGACGAATGGTGGCACATAAAACAGTATAAAAAACAAAGAATACAACAAAAAAATAATACAATAATAAAAATTGTTAAAAATATTATAAAAAAAGGAATAGAAGTAAATAAAAAATAAGAAATATAAAAATAAAGGAATAAAAATAATAATACGGAAAAGGATGAAACCAAATTTAATTTTAAATGTTGTATAAATCGGAGACTGTGTATGAAATATGTGACTTACAAGAAGATAATTTACAAATTTTTTTGTATTGTCGGAAACTTTTTTTTATATTATTTACTTTTTTACAATTTTTTTTACGCATCAAAGTCAAACAAGTCAGATAAGAATATCCAGATAATGCAATGTACCAAAATCATTAACTTTGCCATAAGGCAGAGACTAGATAAAAAATCCGTGTCCTGACTTAAAACTATGTATAAAGAAATTAAATTCACAAAAAATAAATGCCTCTGAAAGATGGAAATCAAATTTCAAAACTACAATTAAATCAGTAGTACAAACTACTGTACTACAGTAGTGCGAGATAGCCCGCACGACATTTTAAAAAATGAGTTCATTCTTCTGTAATGATAACTTGCACCTTCAACTTCGAAAGCGCATGGTTAAATGCTACATTTGGTCAGTCTCTTATACGGTGTCGAAGCATGGACATTAACAATATCCACCATTAATCGTCTGGAGGCCTTTGAAATGTGGCTGCACAGACGTATACTATAAATTCCATGGACGGCTATGCTGACAAATGTGGCAGTCCTTGAGAGAGCAAATGCTGCTTGCGAGCTGCTTGATAACATCAAATGTAGAAAGATTGCCTATTTTGGACATGTAGTAAGGGGAGACCGATATAATATTCTTCAACTTATTGGACTTGATAGGGCACGTTAAGAAGAAGAATCATTTTTTTCATATCAAGAATATCTTTATTTTCCCATTTTTTAAATTAAAATTGATAAATAATTTATGGAGATATTTACAAAAAAGCAGTTTTTCTGCACTAATTTACAGATTTTATAAATTTTTTTTGTTAACAAATTAAAATGGTATTAATACATTTAAATCTAAACATTGAGGAATTACCGTCTTTTAAATTTGTGCTAAATTTCCCCCCGATCGGCCAAGTACATAGTTTACAAGTTATTTAATTTAGGTAAAGAAATAATAATAAGACTTACTCACAATCAATTTAATTTAACAATCTGACGACCGGTTTCGCTTTCTACAATTTGCAAAGCATCTTCAGGTCTAGATACAAAGTTAAACTAATGCTGCAATAAAATAAACCCAATTAGGGTGGTGTCTAATAAAGATAAAATAAACAAATAAGTTAGTTCATACAAATTATAGTAATTATGCCAATATTACATGTCTGTGGTTTTCAAAATGAATAAATTTGAATATATAAAAGGTATTAACAGACAAGGTAAGACTCACAATTGGTATAAAGTAGCAATATTATATTGTAATAAATTAATAAATGAGCAAATAAATAAAACAAAACAACATTACTTACATGCCGGTACTCTAATTAATTGATGGAATGGTAGGTCATGGTTGCAAAAATCATGTATTGTTGATTGGAGAACTTTAATGTGCTATTGCAGTTGTTTTGACAATAAACGGGAAGTTCTTGAGGGAACAGATTTGATCCAATGAATTAGAGATAGGTATATTGTGGTTGTTTGTCAGATGAAAGTGATGTTCTTTACTATTGTATTATTTAAATTATTTACACTTATATCAGAGATATATTTTTTGGAATGTGTGTTATTTATTGAGTATTTATGTAATGAAGGAGACAGTTTTATGACAATGAATAAGAGTAGCTGTACCGATTGTGTGGTTGTGCAATTATTTTGACTTGTAATTATCAAGTCTATTGGCAAAATTAATAAATTATTGTAAAGTCAACTATGTAAAAAGTATATAAAAAGTATATAAAATTATTATAAATTAAGACGATCAGGGACTTTTGCAGCATTAGTTTAACTTTGTATCTAGACCTGAAGATGCTTTGCAAATTGTAGAAAGCGAAACCGGTCGTCAGATTGTTAAATTAAATTGATTGTGAGTAGTCTTATTATTATTTCTTTACCTATTTGATATGGACTCACACAAGCAACACATTCATGATTTATTTAATTTATTTATACCCTAAGGCTAAATATTTAAACTATCGAACTTGCTCTATTAATGATGCTAAGCACATTTAGCAAATGTCATAGGATTGTTTAAGACTTAAACTATCTCAGAAGTTAAATGCATATTGCGTTTTCATCGAAATTATTTACAAAATAAACGTTTGAAAAAAGGGTATGTTTTTTACTTATAAACAATTGTAATAACTTCTATATTTTTTAAACTACAGACTTGTACGTACAACCATTGATAGCTTGTAAAAAAACTCACATTAAAAAAAAATCTTCTATGACCAATAGGAATGAAGTTAGGGACTATTTTGACGAAATTTTGGAGCGTGGCAGCTGCTACTCATCCCGCCTTTTTTACGCATAGGTGACCTTTCTCCTATTCACATGAACACATATAAAATGTAGGGACACAGGACGGTATACTCTGTGATAGTGTGATACTCTAAAAACATAAATAAATGTGTTTACCGTCCCCGTACTGTACATATACCTATACAAAACATATTCGTCAAAGTAGTAAATAATTATAATAATTAGTTTAAGCAATATAATAATATAATGTGGAATTCCGGAATTTTCCGATATTTCCGGGAAGGAGGGGTGAAAATTAATTATGTCATCACTATTAATACTGCGACAAACTATTTCTTAGTAAGTTTTTACGGTGAATTTCAAATGGACTCAATCTTTCCGAAGTTTCCCATATTTCCCGGCCAGTGAAAACTATGTGGTTTTAGAGATAATGTAAATTTTTTCTACGTGTTTCAATTTGACTTATCCCCTCCACTTTCCTATGCCGATCTTTCGAAAGTACCTTCGTTTCGAAAGGCTGTAAGTTTTGAAAATTGGGTGAATTTTATAGCTATAAGTTTCAATAGTTTCTAAAGTTTAGATCTTCCTTCAAAATTTGTGCAAATTTTACTTCTTAATGTTTATAAACAATAGAGATACGATTTTTTAAAAAATAGTCCTAACTTCGTTACTATTGGTCATAAAAGGTTTTTTTTTAATGTGAGTTTTTTACCAACTCTCCAATGGTTGTACGTACAAGTCTATTCTATATCTCGAAAAATATAGAAGTTATTTCAATTGTTTATAAGTAAAAAACATACCCCTTTTTCAAACGTTTATTTTCTAAATAATTTCGATGAAAACGCAATATGCATTTATTTTCTGACATAGTTTAAGTCTTAAAGAATCCTATGAAATTTGCTAAATGTGTCTAGCATCATTAATAGAGCAAGTTCAATAGTTTAAATATTTAGCCTCAGGGATAAATAAATTAAATAACTTTTAAACTATTTGACCGATCGGGGGGAAATTTCGCACAAATTTAAAAGACGGCAATTCCTCAATTTTCAAATGTATTAATAACATTTTATTTTGTTTAATAAAAAAATTAATAAAGGTTAAAAATTAGTGCAAAAAAACTGCTTTTTTGCAAATATCTTCGTAAATTATTTAGCAATTTTTATTTAAAAAACGGTAAAATAAAGATATTCTTTATATAAACAAATGATATAATTATTGTTTATGTAAAATATAAGGAAAAAAACTTATAAACAAAAAATCAAATTGTGACCATCAATTGTTGTTTAAAAAAGACGCAAGGTAAAACAACGAGTACTGTTTCATCTATTCGTCATCTAGTAACCCCCACCTATGTCCTAAAAGCTTCAGATATCTGCGAAAAATTTTGCCTTGAAATCGATGATTTTTGCGTAACCAGACTGGAAAATTAGTGCATGAACTTTTAGAAAAAGAGCAATGTCTAAACAATGCAATTGTCTAAATTGCCCACTTAGAAACTGAAACTCCCCCAAATTTAAGCTCAAATCCCCCAAACTTAAAATTTTGTTGCTAATTACAATTTTTATAAATTTGAAAAGACTGTAGACTGGAACAGACTGTATTTATTTATTTATGTATTTATAAATTTTATACTATTTATACTAAAACGATGAATTAGAATAATTTTTCATACTAAAACAATGAGAATAATTTTATTTCGCGATTTATAAAAACTGATGCCACCAGTGATGTCACTTATATTTAAAAATTAAAATTAAATTTAAAAAACAAGATTAGAAAATCTGACGCCATTGATTATGTATAGAATTGGGACATATTTCTAAAACTTCCATGACCACACGACGGTGGTCAGTAGGACAAAATGATCTATTTTCAAAACTAAAGGCCTATATTTTTGTAACATATTTAGATAAGTACATTTTTTTGGATGCCTTAAAGGTATCTACTGAAAAAACCATAAAAATGGGGGAAAATACCCCAATTTGGCAACTTTGCATATTGTTCATAGATTGTTCTGAAATTGAGAACTGATACATAGATGTGCTAATCCTTAGAATTTTGAAAAAAATTGTGAACCTCGATAAATTTGTACAAACATATTTAAATTTGTTTAAAACATAAAAAAATAAGAATATAACATAATAAATTAAAAACGTCTCCTTTAAAATAAATAACTTACCAACAAAAATTATTTTAAGTTTGGTCTTTTACCATCACACTCTTGGTCGACTCCAACACCCGAATCAGAATGTTCATGATAATTTCTACTCATATTAACAAAATTGTCCTTCACAGAACCATATCCGTTGTACCCATTACCACCATAATAACTAGATGGCTTCAGTGGTTCCGGAAGCCCTATAAGACTATTGCTATTGCTATCTTTGTCAGGATATGAGAAATTAGTTAAAGCTTCATTCATGTAACTATTTAAGTGGTGATGATAATGAGCCGGTTGTTGGGAATGCGATGATATCGTACTCTTATCATCGCTTCTTGACGAATTAGAAGGGCGTAGTTTGACGTGCTTGCTGTAATTAGTTTGTACAACGGTGTAGGGTATTTCTTTGAGTTGAAGGTCGCTCATTCCGGCGGTTTCGACTAAATCGAATTCGAGATGTTTCTTTAGTTCGTTTGAGAGCCATTTTGGTTCCGACGGTGATCTTGATCGGGATCGATGTTTCCGGTGTCTATTTCTTCTCCCTGTGCTATTATAGTTGGGGGGATTCGATCGGATTTCTTGACTTCTTTTACTGCTAACAACATTTGCCTTTTGGATACTATTATAACTGTTATCATTAGCAGCAACGGTTCTTTGAACTTCTTGCCATTGCAAACCAGAATCAACTAATTCGTAGTAATTATCAGCCTTACTTCTAGATCTCGAATCTGAATATTTTTGATCATATTCAGAACCAGAATCCTTTTTATTGCTTCTAGATTTCCTTCGTCTGTGTTTTCTTCTGGATCTCGAAGAACGATTAGAGTGTTCACTTTCGTTGTCTGAGGTTCGACTTCTATGTTTTCGTTTTTTGCAGTTTCTAGAATCGTTAGAACTTTGACTATCTACTGACGAAGATCTAAATCTTGCAGATCGTACTGACCTCGGACTAGCAGGTGCAGAGTTGTTATACAGGCCTTTAGAATGTGGTTGGGACCAAGGCGCACTTCTGGTGCTTCTTGGAGAATCAAACTTTTTGACATTGACAGAACTATTAATAGTAGAATTATAGTTACCTTCAAAACTTTCCACAGGTAATGGCAGAGAAATATGTTTTATTTCTTGTTGATGATTGATTCTAGGTGGTTCCGAGAAAGTGTTTTCATTAGCAACCTGGTTTCTTCTAGAATATTTTCTCGACGGTCTTCGAGAAAATGAAGGAGGTTGTCGCAGCTTCATTTGAGCATCTCGGACAGCTTGTTTTTCAGTTCTTCCACTATATCGAAAACGAGAACCTAAAGCAAATATATCCGGACTAGTTGGTGCAACTTGCACCAGACGAAAGAATGAATGATGTTCTATACAACACTTCCATAAATGTTTGCAAGCTGATTTAGAAGGCGTTTCAAATCCGTATGTGCACTCATCGTTATTTTTATCAGTCACTCTCAGCATAAAGTAGCGTCCTTTAAAATATATTTTAGTTATTCTAGGCCAGTAATAGTTTCCAACCGTGTTTTTGTTTCTTAGCACTATGATACCACTAGGAGTTAGACCTAAGAAGTATTCTACATGGTCTTCGCCTAATACGGGATGCAAATCTACACCGTAATTTTCTAACCACTTTACTTTATCTAAATAATTCAGTTCTGCTTGGGAAGGCATTTGGCCCACGAGAGTTTGGTGCAGTTCAGTGATTCGCATCTCAAGTTCGACGCTTTGGTTTGGTAAAAATCTAAATTCTGACACATATCCCGTACTATGCCTTCTGGGATCATAATCTCCTAGTTCTGATTGCAAAATATAAGCACCTAATTCAGCAGCAAGTTCAAATGGAACCAAAAGCCGACCTTGCAAAATATCTTGTTTGATTTGTAAAAAGAATTGATATCTAGTAATTTCTTCTAATAACTTACATGGATCAGCAGCATAGAACTTGACACCAAAATAAAGAGTGTATGGATCGGCACCTTTGATTTGCTTGTTGAGTTTTTTGGTTGGATCTAGCCAGTGAGTTTGGCCGTGGGGGTCCAAGTATCGAAGTCCAAAATATGCTGTTTCCAAAAGGTTCAAGTGACGGAACACCACATCGAGAAGCGCCTGTCCATTGCTGTTATTTTGTAGCTCGTGCACCAATTCCGTTTCATCCAAAAACACTATTTTACAATGCACTGAGTACACTTTCGAACAAAAACAATCCATTATACCACTTCACCCAAAATGTTAACAAAGAGACACCGTATGTATGAACGATATGACTAATGTCTTACGTTTAAGACCAAGTTCATATTTCCAATTACGCTTAGCCTTGTATATTGGTAGACTAGGAAGGGCAATCACCTCTTGTGAGTTCACTAGTGGTTCTGTGGTTCAGCGCACACTGCATACTGAAGAGAGCTATTTTGACTACAGCGTACAAACGACCAATGATGGTTTGCATTGTCTTTGGTTCCCTTTCCACCGCGGTGTGTAAACTCATGACTATAATCTAACAGGTGATATAAACGATTCTCTCGGGAATTCGTTAGGAACCATTTCATAATGTTTAACAGCTAAATAATTCGGACTATATAGCCGCAATTTCTTTAAAAACTTGCTTGGCTCGCTTTAGTTGATGAGTTAAGTAGGTGGTTCACTGTGAATCATAACTAGCCGCCACTCTGCGGTACCGGTGCTGTGAAAGAAGTAACTGAGAGGACAAAGATGGAGGTACGAAGAAATAGGCCAGGACTTGAGTATAAAAATCGAACATTTTACATGCCAATCGTGTTTACAGTTACCCAGTTTTCAATTTATGTTTTGTTATCACTAATTTGATATTTTTAATAGTTTTTTATCACTTATTTTACAAATAATAATGTTTAGCTGACGTATAATAAATAGAGTCATTAAAATATTAATTAAATTGTTATAATAATTTTTTTTATTTAATTAATGGCTTTGGATAACTTATCCATTCAGCCACGATAATATACAAGGTGGTCCAGAATTATGTACATTAATTTCTAGAGCTCATAGTACGTCCAAAAATAAGGGTACTTCTTTATGTACACTTTTTTATAAAACTGAATAATAAGGGAGATACAATCCTTTAAAGGGGTGAATTGAAATTCTTATTTTTTCAAATATCTTCCAAACGGTTCTGAATACGGAGTTCATATTTTGGGAGTGATTATAAGACATTAGGATAATTAATTTCATGTCACCACCTACCACATCCTATATTAATACAGGGTAGTTTTGGAGGGAAAGTGGGGGTTATTGCGTCACATGTTTTTTTAATTTTTACATATTTTAAAAAAATATTTAAAAATTGTTTCCTTAGACTTTTCTACGTAAAAAAAGGTGCTCTTGTAATATTTCGATAGATATCACCGTTTTCGATTTATTTAAACTCGAAGGTATACATGTATTTTATTGTAATCGTTACATTTCTTAATATTCATCAAGTATGCTTTGGAATTGACACTTGTGTTAGCAATAATATTACAAATTAATGGAAAACCTAATTAATACTTAACATTTAATTAATGGCGAAAATAACATTTCACAACAACTGATCAAAAAATCAATCCTAAGTGGCATATCATCAGGTAACAATTCCAGCACCTGTCGATAGTGGTAAGGATGTATTTGCTCTTCATGCAGAACTCTTAAACACTTTGATGGAAATATTCGTTCTTAATACTAACCTGCGTGTACTTACTGTGGGGTCATTTATTACAGCATCCAATATTTGAAAGACAACCGGTTTCTCTCATTCGTCGTTCAGTACTTACAAAAGTCCTGGCATTGGGAATATTTCTGTTCGGATACTTTTCTCTGTAGCGTCTTACAGCGGCAGCCCCATTTCCCGAACATTCGCCTAATACTAAAAGTATGTCTGTCATCTCAGAATTTGAATAGTGTGCCTGTTGCGGGCAAACAAATTTAAAAATATAGCAAAAGAGACGTGTTAAACAAATTTCACTGTCGAGTACAATAAAAGTGTAGATAAAATAATTTAATTGTTATTAAACGTCACTGACAAATCATAGATTACTTGAGATTAAAGTGTTGTTGCTAACACAAGTGTCAATTCCAAAGCATACTTTGATGAATATAAGAAATGTAACGATTACAATAAAATACATGTAAACCTTCGAGTTTAAATAAATCAAAACGGTGATATCGATCGAAATATTACAAGAGCACCTTTTTTTGTGTAAAAAGTCTAAGGAAACAATTTTAATTGTTTTTTTTAAATATGTAAAAATTAAAAAACATGACGCAATAACCCCCACTTACCCATCCAAAACTACCCTGTATTAATATAGGATTGTGGTAGGTGGTGGACATGAAATTAATTATCCTAATGTCTTATAATCACTCCCAAAATATGAACCCGTATTCAAAACCGTTTGGAAGATATTTGAAAAAATAAGAATTTCAATTCACCCCTTTAAAGGGTTGTTATCTTCCTTATTATTCAGTTTTATAAAAAAGAGTACATAAAGAAGTACTCTTATTTTTTGGACGTACTATAAGCTCTAGAAATTAATGTACATAATTCTGGACCACCTTGTATTTGACTACTTGAATTTTTTAATGATGTATTGACCTATTGCATTTATTAACAAAATAGTACTTCGCCTAGAGGTAAAATTAAAAATATAATGGTAAACAAAGTATCACAAGAATCAGTAGATGGAAAAAAAACATACCTTTCATTCGGTTACATTCAATGAGTACCAACTTAAACTGTATATTTAGAACCAACAAGGGATTACATAATTAAGGGATACTTTTCACGTTTAGGGGTGGCGTGTTTCAATAAGACGTAGTGAAAAATATCTAGAATAGAAAAGATAGGATGGAATTATGTTAAAGAAGAATATGATTTGGGATTATTTTGATTGTTGTTTATGGATATTGTATATGGAATTAAGGTGTGTTTGTGGTGGGTGTTTAGGGATATTATATTGGGTGTGGTATTGGGGGGGAGTGTGGTTGGTGTAATTGTTGGTGGTGATGGGGGGTTGTTGGGGTTTTAGGTGGGGGGGAGGTGGGGGGGTAGTTTTGGGGATTTTGGTTTTATTAGGTATTTATTTGGGTGGGTGGGGAGGGTGTTGTTGGGTGAGGTATTGTTGTTGGGTGTTGTTTATGGGTATGTGGGTTTTTTAAGTGAGAGGTGGAGGGTGGGGAGGTAGAAGGAGGGGATGTGGTTTTGATGGGGTGTGTAGATGGATGGAGGGTGTAGTGTTTTTATAGAAGGAGAAGGTGGTTTTGGTGGGGAGAGTTGAAAGGGGGGGGGGGGTTTGGGGTATGGTTTTTATGAATTTTTTATATGGGAAGTGGGGTATATTTTTTTAGAGGGGGATTATGTTTTTGGATATGTTATGGAAGATTTTGGGTTGTGAAATTGGAGTTTGGTAGGTGATATTTTGTATAGAGGAGTTGTTGTGGTGAGTGTAGGTAGTTTTTGTGTTATGTTTTTGGTGGGAAGTTTTGATATTTTGTTTGTTTGGTGGGGGGATGGGTGATGAGTAGGATGGGGAGTGAATTTATACGTCCACATCTGAACATAAGCCTCTTCATGTCTTCCTTTCCATGTTTTTTATTGTACGCTACTTGTAGCCAATTTTTTCCCGCAGTCCTTTTCAGATCATCTGTCCATCTCATAGAGGTCTGCCTCTGGGTCTTTTGTGTTGGTATGGTCTCCAGGTTAAAATTGATCTGTGCCATTTGTTTAGATCGCTCCTAGCTACATGTCCAGCGTATCCACTTTCAGCTTTAATACTTTTTGCACCACGTCGGTGACTTTGTTTTTCTGTCTTATCCATGTATTTGTTTTCTTGTCCTAAGTGAATATACCTAGCATTGCTCTTTCCATCGCGAGTTGAGTGACTCTAAGTATATTCATAATCTTTTTTGAGATTGTCCATGATTGTGCCGCCATAAGTTCATATCGGAATAATGCATGCAATCAAAAACTTAAGATCCATAAGATGTAATTGAAATTGAGTTGATTTTCTGATATAATAGTTCTAGTTTACCGAAGGCTGCCCAAGCTAACTTTCTTCTTCTTTTTAATATTTCTTCAGTCTGAATTTCCCTATTTAGGAGTAATTTTTTGTCCCCGAGTATATAAAGTTACATTCAACATTTCTCCTATAACTTTAAATCGTTTATTAATGTCACCCGGTGTCTTCGGAGTGCATGACTTTTGTTTTTGTTTAAATTCATTTTCAGTCCTAGTTTAAGAAGATTCGGTATGAAGTTCTACAAGCATGCTTGAAGAACTTCATACAAGCAAACGTATTTCCGACTAAATACAAACATGTATTTTTGAGGAACGATTTCCAGAAGTGGAAATTGAAACGTCAATAAAGGTACTTTAAACCTTTAATTGTGGCTTTATTCCCATTTTAAATAGTAATTATTTCCTCTTATGTTCCGAAAGCTGTTTTCTCAACTCGCTCCCTGTTAATGTAATATACTTCTCGTTCTTAATTCTGGATTTCTAGTTCTATTTGCTCTTCTTTCGCATCTTATTTTTTCCTTATAAGTGTTTGCTTATCACCCGCATATCTTCTTTTAATTAGCCTTTCCAATTCTGTAGTCCAAGTCATAACCTTTCCAATTCTGTTACTTTTTCTTGCAGTTCAGTGTCAGAGTTAGATTGTTTGGAAATCCGCCAATGTAGTTTCACTGACTAATCCTTTTAAAAAAACCGGTTAGCCGTTTGTGTTTCTCTTTTCTGGTATGTGTGGAATGAATGTTTGTTCCTATCCCACTGTAGTTAATATGATTTCGTTGTGGTTTCCACTTCCTTTTAATACTGATTTATAATTACAGAATTTGAAGACAATGACCTGAATAACAAGGGATTATAAGAACAGAGGCCATCAAAGACACCAGGAAAATATCACACACACCAACGTATCGCCCGTGGAGATCTGCCAAGAATAGGTCGAAGGCCTAGTATAGAGAAAATGAAGAAAAAGTAGATATACTACTCATTTCACCTTTTTTTTAAACTTCATTTTACCTCAATAGTTACCTTTGGGATTCCACTAGTGTTCTTCAGATACAACTTTTGTAATAGTAGGCATATTACACAATGATCCGCAATTAGACAATTAGCAATATCCAATGCAAAAAGATCTAATACCACCATAATCACTTGCCTCTGATATAAAATTGACGAAAAAAATTGAAGT